CCCCCCCCCCCCCCCCTCCCCGGCGAGGTCTCTTGGTCGTGAGGTCATCAACACATCGCTCGGCGGCTTGTTGGTCGACGGTTCTATCTCACCAGCCTCTTGTGTCTCGTGCCTCCTCTGCTGATTGGCGCCTAGAACACGGGGAAGAGCGGGTAAAGGGATAGGACTGATAATAGGACGGACACTGACTAGTCTTGAGACGTGTGCACTTGTACATTCGACAAGTGTGTGACACGGTGCGTGGCAGTGTGCCATTGTGACTCGTTGCCTCCTTTGACTATCGACTTCTTGCCTTCGTTGACTCGTTGAGCGTTGCAAGCGGTGTCTCTCTAGCGTGAACCACATTAGACTGGCCCCTTAACGGGGGCTTAGGTGGACGGCTGCCAGCGTAGACCCTGCCCGTCGGTGGTTCTCTCATAGAGGTGCCTGCGGTGCACGTGACATCAGGTCGACGTGATTCGTCTGCTTGTGTGACATACGTTAACTCATAGCGCAACGGCAGGCAGAGTCTGTCGGTCTCTCATGAAACGAACTGCGTCAACGTCGACCAACCCTCAATCATGCGACAAACATGCCAACACCATCCTCAGCGCCCGCCTGGCGTATCTTCCAGCGGCGCCGCCCACCACGCACACACATACTCGCACTACGCGCCAACGCAACAGACAGACGATATTCGTGTGCTTGTCGTTATTCAATTTTGATTGTCTCTCATCGAAGGTCAATCAGCATCGAGTAAGCGCTATTTTATAGCGTCTTCTAAACCCCAATCAACCCCCGGGCCGACATCAATGGGTGATTGCAGTGAAGGCACATCCTGTGAAGTCCAAGTGAAGTCAGATGTTTGTGCGGACCATGCAATGTCGCCCCCTCCCCCTTGAACGGGGGAGGGGGCTTCAGAAGGCAAGCTTCAATGGGGCAATGTTCATAGGTAGGAGACAATATAGCAATTACACACTGACGCAAATTGCAGTTGGAAAGCCGTCTGAAGACTCGTTGTGCTGGGGGGAGGGGAAGACAGACAAAGTGGGGCCTTGCACGCGCGAGTACATGCCAGAAAGCATTAATTCACCTCACTCTTGGTGCACGTCCCTGCCCTGTCTGTACATCTGTCTGTCTGTCTGTCTGTACGTTTGTGTCTCTGCATACATTGTCTCTGCCGGCAGAAACGCAACACACACATGCAGTGTCAATGTATGTGCGTTTCTATGTGTTGTGGCTGGTGGTGGTTTCTCCTTCTGTTTTCTTGGTTTGGTAACTTGCTGGTTGGGCTTCTTGATTCTTGGTTGGGTTCTTTCAATTTTCTCTCCCGGCTTTTGTGGGTTTTGAATGATACAATGTTCTCTGTGTTTTGTGTCTGGTTTCTGAATGTTTTTCGGCACTGGGAGCTTTTAGAATTGCTCAGTGTGCAGAGGCCCGCCCCGGCCCCGAGTGGGCATCTGTCTTCGGTTCCCTCCCCTTTCTTTCCCTCCCCCCAATGAAAATCGTCGTGCTCCTAAGCGCCCTCTGCTGCCTCATGGCGGCACCCGTCCTGGCCCAGACCCCCGGTACGTGACACGCAACATCATGCAAGCAAGCATCATGGCGAGTTGCGTTCGACTGTGTGTGCTTGTGCAATGGTCAGGTGCCACCTCCTTCCTGGAGCCGACTCTCATCGACACGGGGGCGACGGCTGCCGACATGGCAGCCTTCATACAAAGGTGGGCATCAAGAAGGCAGATATACGCTATGCGGGCGCCTGTCATGCATAGCATGCGATCAGTTTGGTTGCCAGCACTGCGACTGCATTCCCAGTTGCTATTCGAAACTACGAGCCGCCAAGTGCACATGGGGACGGGCAACAGCGGGTTGCACCAACTTGCTTGTTTCTCTGCCTGTTCATGAATGGCACAGAGTTGCTGAGTGATGACTTCCCCCTGCGATGGGACTTGGATAGTCTGCTCTCCGCGGCAGTTGAGGCCGGCATGGACGTTCCCAAGACTATGGCTGAGGGCCTGGAGGACCTGCTGCGCAAGGCTATCGTCATGGGGACGCCACTCAGGCTGGAAAGCCTCATGAAGCTTCCCGATCTCCAGGGGTACGAACCCACTGTCTACCCGAAAATCCTGGAGTTTCTGCAGCTCGGTCGATACACACGCGAGACATGCACCATCCATGAATGTGTGCGCAAGCAAACATCTTGATTGTGACTGCATTTGTTGGTTGGTGCAGTTGTGGCCAAGACACGTGCGTCGATTCGTCTGGGCAGCCACCCACCGGATACCGTGTGGTCTCTGTTGGGCTACGTGACGACTCGTGCTGCCGAGCTGGCCCGCCACCTGCCGCCCTACTCCTCCTTCGAAGGTAGGCAGTCGGCTTGCTGGTAATACACACGACCACACTCACACTCATGCAGATTCAGGCAGCATCGAGGAAGTACTCAAATTCGACAGCGACAAGATAGTCAAGGTGAGTAGCCAAAAGGATGACAGACAGACAGACAGACAGACAGGCAGGCAGACAGACACGCGCGCCGACAGTTGCTCCCTTGGCTGGCTCTTCCCCGAGTAAAGGTGTCTCATACATCCCGTCTGGCTTCTTGTGTGCCTCAGGAGGCGTTGGACTTACTCCCGGCGACAGGCAACATTCCCGGCGACCTTGTCGATCTGCAGAGCCTGATCAAAGTTGACATAGAGGGGCTGGGGCCCAAAAGCTGGGACCTGTACACACCGCCGGCCGTCGACTTGCTGCCGCTTCCCGTGCTGGACGACCTCATCAAGCTTATCTCGGTATCACCAGGGCATGCATATGCAGCATGATGACCTGCGAGCACATAATGGTTCGAGTCCCTTGTTTCTCCCTTGGCTGTATTTATTCAGGGCATGTTCTATTCAGGCAAAACCCTTGGCAAAGACGATCTGAGGAAGGTTTTGCCCGCTGTCGGGCTGGACGTCATGATCGAGCCGATTCAGACCTTCCTCAACGACTTCGTGACGCCCATGTACAATCAGGCCCTCGGCGTGTGGACCGCCATCGCCGGCCAATTCAAAGGCTATGCGGACGCTTTTCGCGACTTCACCTCCCACATGGCTGCCAAGTGTACGCAACCCTATCGAACAGGCAGAGAGGCAGAAATCGACATACATACATACATACATACATACCGTTCGCACCGCATCTCTGTTCAGATGTCGAGAGGTTTCTAAAGATGGGCAAGGAGTGGGTGGATACGGTTCCTCGGAGTGAGCTGCTGAGCTACTTCGAGAAGCTCGCCACGAAGCTCTTCGCCGGCGTCACGGCCCGCATCCCCGCGTGCGACCGCTTCCTGGACAAATTCTTCGAAAAGTCCCTCTGCGACCTCTTTTTCAGCCAGACATTCGGGCCAAAGGCCAGACGTCGCCTCATGTACGACCCCAGCAAGCCTCCAGGCAAAAACCGAGCCGCCGGTGAGGTGTACATTACGAACCTGGGGATTGAGCCCGAACCTACGCTGATCGGCGCCGCCATCCAGCCGATCTCCATTGGATACGACCTGCTGGACCCCCTGGCCGACATCTTCATGAGCGACCAAACCGGGAAGATAGTCGAGTACACCGACCTGGAGCTGGACACCTTCCTCAAGGAGGTCCTGGCGCCTTTCGTCCACATGATGCAGCAGCGCGCCGCCACGTTTCACAAGATTCTCGCGGCGGGCGGCTACTCATGCGAAAAGGGCGACTGCGGGGCGGAGAAGCACGTCTTCGAGAGCATGATGAGCGTCAATGTTGTCGAGGGCTTCAGGCTGCTCCAGCCAGCGGCCGGATACTCGAAGAGTGAATGAGAGAGAGAGAGAGAGTGTGTGTGTGTGTGGCCGCACGAACCAATCCCTACCCATCTTTTCCTGCTTGATTCTTGCATGCAGAAGTGACAACCGATGTGTATGACTTCATGACCCGCTTGGCCACGGAGGTGACGTGGCACAGACAGCTCACAGCCAGCCACAGCACTCCCTCAGGCAAGCAATGGAGGTCCACTTTCGTGTTTGTTGTGTGTGAGTGCAGCTGTTCTACGAGGCCAGGACGTACGCCGAGATGTTCCCCAAGGTTCCCTTCCTGCCACCACCGCCCGTGAAGGTGCCCCCCCTCCAGCCCCTTGACGCACTCATGGACCTTGACGGCATCGCATCCTATCTTCTGGTCCGTACCGGTGGTCGTGGAGTGGCCTGATGGGGGAGGGAGGGAGGGAGGGGCGGAGTTCATGTGTGTTCCTTTCCGTGTGTTATGCATTGCATGCAGGGTGAGCTGACAAAGCCGACTGGTGGCGGCGCAGCGGATGCCTTGGCCGATTTCTTCAAGAGTCCTTTGAGCAAGACGATGGAGATCCTGGACATGTTCGTCAAGGAGCTCGTCAATGCCTTCCAGCCCGTCAGCAAGCTCTTCAAGGGCGGATTCTACGAAATCGCATCCATCAACTTCATCTCACATGAGGGCGGCAAGAGTAATGCAACCCCACACACCTCTGCACAAGCAGCAGCAGCAGCAGAGACATGTATCTTCCCTTGCTGTCTGTCTGTCTGTGTGTCTGTTGCATGGCGTTGCGTATGCAGTGCTGCGTGAGTTCCGCCGTTACTTCGACAATTCGGGCCCCGTCGACGAGGCGTCTCGCGCCAAGTACCTGAGACAAGTGGCGGCGGCGATCATCAAGGACGCCCAGCTGCGTATCCCCGCCATCGAGCGCTTGGCCGATCGCTTCGACAAGGGGCTCTTCACGCTATTTCAGGAGGCGCTCAAAGGCGGCCACGAGATCACGCCATCCGTGATGACCGGCCTGCCGCAGCCGGGCACTTTGCTGCTGAAGCCCGACGAGTGGATGACCTTCCTGCAGCGCATCCTGGCGCCCTTCCTCGAGCGCCTGCGGCTGGGCGGCGACAGACACCACAAGGAGGGTGGCTCGGTCGAGAATCAACAAGTTTTCGACGACTACCTTGCCTCTCTCGCCGTAAGTCATATGGATAATATGCAGGCAGACGATGGGTTGGTGTGTTTCGCTTTGCGAACGGACACTCCACGTCTGTCAGGTCGATGGCTACCACGTGTTGCTGGGCGAGCTTACCGAATCCTTCACCGTCACGCTGTCGGCGGCCGTCACCATGCCCCCCCCTGCGCACCGAGATTGAGCAGCTCATCGCCAAAGTGGCCAAGAAGTGGCTTGCAATAGCCGAGCACTTCGCTGAGGCCTTCACCAAGCTGCCCTATCTGCCCCCAATGCTGCCCGTGACCCACCTTCTGAACTTGGACGTCTACTTCAAGCGCATTGTGGAGCTCATTCCCTCGCCGCCCTCAGGCTTGCCAAAGGGACTGCCCATCTACAACCCATTGGAGGAGCTGCCAGCCGTCCCTCAGAAGATCGCGGGCTCCCTCATCAGCACCGCAGAGAAGACTCCGATGCCTACTATTCCCTTTCTCAACGCGGTGGCCTATGGCGGGTCGACTGTGCCGCCCAATATCTCCTTCCTCGTTGAATTCACCGACATTTTGGGTCACTTTGTGGCCAAAAGCGCCGAGCTGACCACCAAATGGCTGGCGAAGTTCGAGGAGTTTGCGGCGTTGCCGGCGTATGTCCTCACACCCGCGATCTCCTTCCTGCAGAGAGTCGCACAGACGGTAGGTATTCGCCCATGCCCATCCCCAGTCTCTCTCCAATTTGGATGAATCCCTCTCTCGTACGTGTGTGTGCCTGCCTCTATAGGTGACGGGCCAGATGCAGCTGTTTGACGCGGAGCGGTACGAGGCTTATATCGACATGGTCGCCATATTCGCTTACGGCAACCTCAATAAGGTAGCACACGGAGGAGACACACGGAGAATGATGATCCGACAGTGAGGCGTCTGCTGCGGTGTGCAGCTGGTTGCGTATCTCACGGACATCGACAAGGCCTCCGACGCCTTCATCGACAATATCGTCACACACACGAGTGACACAGACAGACCGACACCCAAAGGCCGGCGGCGCGGGGCCTTATTGGAGGTACCTACCATCTCTCTTTCTCTCTCCCTGTGCGTGGGCGCGTGTGTGTAGCTGAGGAGCCGGCCAATTACATCATGTCGATGACCAGGGAGCTGCTCGGCGCCTTTCTCTACAGATTCGACCAGCTCACCCGTTCACAGTAGTCAGTACGGCGACAGCGACCCCCACACACACGCCTGGCTATATCTATATCTCTATCTCTATCTGACCAGCACATCGGCCGATGCATTCACGCTCTCTCTTGGTGTGTTTCTGTGTGCAGCGATGACACACAGACGGTGCTCAAGGAGGCGATTGAAAGGGGGTCCGTCCAGCACACCGACGTCGACAAGGTCATCAAGGCCATCCTCGACCCCACACGCATGAGCATGAGCATGATCCCCACCCTGGATGCGGAGGCGATAGCCGACCTCCGCAGCGAGCTGACGGCATACTTCGACGTCATCCTCAAGGCGCACGGCCTATTTGGCGCTGCAGCCGACCGGCAGCGGCGGCGGCTCGGTGGAGTCATGAAGCCAGCAGCTCTCGTGGTCAGTTGACGAGCCATCGCTGGCCTGCCTGCTGACGCAGGAAGGATATATTATTTCGCCTTCATGTCGTTCAGGACGACGACCTGGTGCGGCGGACCATCAGCGCCTTCGTATCCATGCTGGCCGAGCAGGCGAAGCAGGGCCCACCTGCCGTCCCGTCCCTCGGCCGTGGCGCCCCAGCAAGACCTCAGGGCGGCGCGGCGGTGGCGCTCGAGCGCCTTCACGAGGCCGAGGCCATCGTCAAGTCCCAGCAGCGACAGCGCGTGCTAACAGGCCCCCCAACCACACCCGTCATCGACGAGGGCGCCGAGCTGTTGACCACAGAAGACGTTTTGACCTCAGAAGAGGTCTTGACCATCGTGCAGTTTCATCTGCAGGTGCATGCAGTCTATCTCTGACAGTGCAGCACTCAGCCACGGGGATGACGTAGCATCCATCCAAAGCCACATCCCTTTGTCATGTCTTTTCCTTGTCGTCCATCTGCACTGCAGCCCTCTTCTGGCAAGCGGCTCCTCCTGGGGGAGACGGCAGGCCCTACGAAGTTGGAGGACCTCATTGACAAGTGGGATGGCCTCAAGAAGCAGCTCGCCGAGTGGGTCGATACATTCGCCCACAACGTCGCAATAGAGCTGCTCGGCTGCAGGGCACAACGGGTACGTCAAGTGACCAAAGACGACAGTGCTGCTGGATGCATGACTGATGAGGTGCGTGCAGTATATTTCGGCGCACGAGAACGATCCCTGCAAGGTCCGCGACTTCAAGGACTGGCTGTTCGTCCGCACCCTCAAAGATGCCTTTTCACTCGCTCCCGAGTTGTACGCCGACGGTGTGGGCAAGCTGCATGACATCCCTGAGACGCTCGTTTTCTACGCGGCGGCACGCTCCCAACTCTACAACTTGTGGTACCTGTATGGGAAATACGAGGTAGTTGCGACGGCAGTGACGTATGCAATTTACGACAAGGTTTGCGGCATGACGACAACGATCAATGTGTCAGATCGCGCACGCGCCGCCCTCTCTCTCTCTCTCTGCCTACTGCGTGAATGGGTGCAGGCCAGGTATTTGGTGATTGAGGGTGGCGAGCTGATGGATATCTGGTCGTGCTCCATGAGTGACGGCGGGCTCCTCGACCTCATGAACTGGGAGCACCTCATAAAGCTCCCCGGCGGAATCAAGAACATCGCCGACAAAGGCGCCAATCTCGGCCTCTGGAAGAAATAGGGTATCCCGGCCTTTCTTGGGGGCTTGCTCAGTCGATTCGCTGCCTGTGTCGTCTGCTCATAGCCTTTGGACTTACGTCCTTGCAGTACGTCCTTAAGGACCAGAAGGCCAATTGTGTGTGTGTGTGACGATGTGTGGCAGCGGTATGCATACATGCCCATATAATCTCTGGTTGGGGAATGGTGCATACACGTGGATCCGGGTGACTAGGGAGGGAGGGAGAATGACGGCACGAGTGAGTGAGTGAGGGAGTGAGTGAGGGAGGGAGGGAGGGAGGGACGAGATTGGGGCGAATCAAAAATCAGACAGACAGAAAGACAGACAGACAGACGGCCTGCAGACAGACCGAGTGTTTTTTTTGGTGTCCAACAGCCAGCCAGTCCACCCTCTCTCTAGATGTGCGTGTGGCGGCAGCCTCGTTCGTTCGGTATGTGCGGTATTCGCACTACAGCATCCATCCATTGGCCATCAGTTGGCCATCCATCAGGCAGGCAAATGGCTCCCCGGCAGCAGACAGACAAACAGAGAGGGGGGGTTGGGGGTGCGGTGTGCAGTCAGGCCCTGATGCATGTACACACAGATAGCTCACGGACGGCCTCTTTGTACTATAGTGAAGATGGGCTGGCCGTGGTGGCGGTGTCCTTGTGTGCCGTCCCGTTGGCATAGATGATGGCTCTGATTAATCCTGCATCCCGCGCCCCACTCCGACCTTCATGTATATAGAACCCATACATGTATATTTTCGTCACGCGGGACCTGCGTAGACAGATACAATCCTCACTTAAGACCGTTAGCTAGAGGTGAGACACATGACTGCTTGTCCCTTGTTGCTCGTTTTGTGTGAGTGAATGAGTGAGTGAGTGATCATGAGTGAGCTCGAGTGAGTGATATCGATGGGTGGTGGCTGGGTGATTGAATGGATGGATGGCTGCAAGTGGTGATCATAAATCAGTGAGTATCAGCGATCAGTGCGATTGAGACTTGGTGATTCATGTCATCTGTTCATTCATTTGTTCTGCGTGTGGTGTGAGTGCCTTGCACTGTTGGAGCACATGCATCGCATTCATTGTCAGAGATTCATGGAGAGGTAGCACAGCACGCATGTGTTGCTTGGTTTGTCTGCATCGGTCGGACGGTTGATTGGTCAGTGAGCCACACTGCCGTGACTGCAAGTTGCTGCCTGCGTCATTATCCGTATCGTTTTGTCCCCCCACTCATTCATTGACTCATTCAATACTTTCCTGGCCATTCTCGAGTCTGTTTGAATGAGAGGGAGTCTGTTTCTCGTGAGAGCGTGTCAGAGGACGATTAGTCATTTGACTTGTAACAAAAATGTATATACAGTACATTGATTGACAGACTGAATGGATGGATGGATGGATGAATGAATCTCCCGATGATCTTCGATCCGAGACGTCATTCTACGATGCCCTCGTCCTGTAGCCGGCGCTCTGTGAGATTGACGGCCGAACCGACGCCGGCCGCCCAACCTGTGAAGAAAAGCTCAACCGGAAATGAGCATTGACCGAATCCCACATGGAATCCCACCAGGATTGGCCAGGATATGACCAGCATACGTGCATGTGTGTGAGAGGAAAACGGAAGCCGTTGGGGCAACCCCAAAACCCTTACCTGAAACCCTTACCCTGAACCTTCTGAGTCGGTTTGCCCGCCTCTTTGTACAGCTCTCTCCGTCCTCTCCATTACCAGCCCGGCAGCCGTCCCTCCAGCATCGCATATAGATCTGTCGTGTTCGCTTCCAATGCCTCTCCCAGCGTACTCGGATGATGTTGAGGGCAAGGGCGCTCACGACTTCGACGCGCCGGATATGCGGCAGCACCCAGATATCATACGTGGGCGGGCCGCTCCCTAAACAGGGGGAAAGACAGATCCCACGAGACATCATGGTGTCATGTGCGTATGTCCGTTGTGGGTTGTGCAGGCCCTCCCAATGGCCACAGCCCTGAGGGCTTTGAGATGCTCGCTGAGGGCAAGCCCATGTTCTCCGGCACCGCCAACAGCAGAGGTAGTAGGGGAAAGATCATACCACCCTGTGCTGCCGTGTCCAGCCAGCGTGGTGTGGCGTGGTGTCATGCAGTGATTCTTGTGGACATGGACAACACGCTGTGCGACTGGGAGGCCGGCTTCGTCACTGCGATGAAGAAACACCACCCGGACGTGCCCCTTGTGCCCTTTGAACAACGCAAAAACTGGAAACAGTCAGTATACACGTCAGCACATAAAAGGAAGGTCAGACGAGTACGTGCGTCTTGATTGATGGTGTCTGCTTGCCTGCCTGCCTGGATGGCTGCCTGCCTGAGTGTCGTCAATCCGTCCATCAATGCGTCGTGTGCGTGTGTGTCAGTGAGGACGACTACCCACCAGAGCACCGCCAAATCGTCACCGACGTCTGCAAGACCGACGGTACGGTACGCACACCGTCGAACCCAACCCACCCACAACGAATGTAACGTGACGTCACGTGTCTGCCTGTCTGCCTGTCGGTCTGTCTCTCAGGGTTCTTCCGCGACATGCCTGCGATGTCGGGTGGTGTGAGTGCCGTCAAGGCGATGAAGGATGCGGGGTTCGACGTCTTCATCGTCAGCGCCCCGCTGCCCACCAATGTGGCCGCGTGCTCGGCCGAGAAGACACAGTGGGTGGAGAAGCACCTCGGCAGCGAGTGGGTGCACAGACTCATACTCACCAAGGACAAGACCACCGTCAGAGGTTAGACAGAGAGAGAGAGGGGAGAGAGAGAAGAGACAACGAGCCCGGGTGGGAGGGAGGAAGGGATCCATAATTGTGTCAATCGACACCTTGTACGTGTGTTCTGTGATGTGTGGCAGGCGATGTGTTGATAGACGACAAGCCCACGGCGGACGAGGGCGCCATGACTCCCGAGTGGAAGCACATGCTCTTCGACAAACCCTACAACCAACACGTCACGGTAGGCAGGACATCCCTGAACTTGTACGTACATGTATTCATTTGTTTTGAGGGTCGTGTGACCAGGGCAAGCCCCGTCTGAGTGGGTGGGGTGAGTGGTCCAAGGCGTGTGCGATGATCACGGGTCGCCCGAGGGAGCTGCCCACCAACCTGTACCCAACTGGCATCAACTTCAGCTGCGTCTTCCCGATGTTCAACCAGGTGAGTGCCGCACCACAGCACCACCCACCACCCAAGGCACGCACAGCCAGCCAGTGAGACGTGTGTTGTGTTGTCTTGTGTGGTAGGAGGAGATCGTCAAGAAGACGTTGGCGGGTCTGTGCAAGCAGCGGATCAAGAGCGACTTCAAGTTCGAGGTCATTATCCTCGACAACAACTCGACCGACGACGTCGACGCCATCTACAGGAAATACAGAGAGAAACTCGACCTCACCTTCATACAGGTCAGTCCGGCAATAAATGATAGATACTGCAGGCAGGCAGACATGGATGGATAGATGGATGGATGGATAGATGGATGATCCTCTCCTCTGTTCTCTCTGTGTGTTGTGTGGCATCTATCTATCACATCGCCCAGCGTCGGAAGTTGGAGAACACCTTTTCAGTCCCCTCTGGGCGCAACATGGGCATCAAGCAGGCCAAGTACGACTTCATCGTCGGCATGGACTCCGACGTCATCCTCAACGAAAACTTCCTCGAAAACCTCTACCAGTTCCTCAGGTACCCGCGCTCACACCCACCCACGCACGTTCACACATCCATCTCTATCGCTGTGCTTATCGTTTCGTGTGTGTCTTTCAGCTCCCGAGATCCCTCGACGCCGTATCTCGTCACGGCGGAGCGGTGGTTCGTCGCGACGGAGGACTGGACGGACGAGCACGTGATGAAGGACTTCAGTGTGTGCGGGACGTTCCCCCGGATACTCTCCAAGGCCAACTACTTCAAGCCGCGCGACAACCGGTTCAGCCACGGCAAGGTCCTCGACAACGTGCGCGAGGGGGTCCACCCGTGGGCCTACTTCTACGGCATGCATACGGCCTTCCCAAGGGTAGGTACACAACGGGCGGAGGGAGAGATATGGAGAGAGAGAGGGTCGTTTGCATGTCTTGTCTTCTCTTGCGTTGTTGTGTGTGTGCATGGGTATGATACAGCGTGTGTGGGAGTTGATAGGGGGTTACGACGAGGTGTACGACGGTTGGTGGGGCTATGACGACATCCACTTCGCGTGGGAGATGATCGTCAAGGGCGGATGCATCCCCGTCGTACTCGGAGGCACCGAGGTCAGACAACAACCACTCAACCATGAAATGAACGAAAACGTCGACGTCCTCTCTCTCTCTCTCTGTATGTGTGAATGTTTGTGTCAGGTGTACCACCAGGAGCCCTATGGGTCGGGCTGGACGCCAGTGGGCGGTGTGATCAACAAGGACGGCTCCAGCAACCCACGACTGAACAAGGCAGCCAACCCCAACTGGAAGAGAATATGCGACACCATCCCCGGGTATGTGTGTATGTATGGGTGGACGGACGGACCATCCACAGGACGCTGTACACTCACATGATGTCTCCTCTGTACCATGGATGGATGGATGTGTGTGTGTTAGGTATGCGGACTGGAAGGCGGACCACTACAGACGGCTGGCGGGCGATATCGTCACCCTCTAGACCGGAGCGGTCAGTCGTCGCACCACCATCTGGGTGTGGTGACTCACTCATTTTCTCGCCCGCAGCGGGCGACGTAGCTATCTGTCTGTGTTCGTTCGTGCACATGTTCCGTGTCTGTCGTGTCTCGGGGGGCGTCCACACGCCCGCATTTCATATATCGGCACCACAATGACAGAGACAGAGAGAGGGACACAGTGATCATGAATGAGGTTTTGTGCGTGCGTGCGTAGATGGTGTGTGTGTGTTGGTGACTGACAATGGCTGGCTGACCGTTTGTTTTGTTTCTCGCGTTCCTGTCTTCCTTTTGTCGGAGTGGTGCGTGTGCATGTGCATGCCCCTGTCTGTGTGCGTCATGATGTGATGTGTGTAGGACGGTCCGTTTTCTAAGCGCTATTTCGCCCTCGATGGGTTCGGTGGGGTGTTTGGTGGGCAGTCATCGTCCTCAAGAGAGCCATCCAAACAAGAAAGGAAACATACAACGAAAGAAATAAACAAGCCCGTTTTGACTTACAAGCAAGACCTGACCGTCCGGATGACTGACTGGATGGATGAATGGCGTAACATCGACCGATGTGTGCGTGCATCTCTCGTTGCGTGTAAGTTTCTTCGACCCGACAATGAACATGAGAACGATTATATCATGGTCTGCCTGTGTGCGAAGTGACTTTCTAACTGATTGCCTGCCTGTCTGTCTGTGTCGCGTGCATCCTGGCAACGGCGAACTCGACACTCTCTTGAGGCGCGGCACCCATGGATGGATGGATGGATGGATGTTTTTCCCTTGCTGCCTACCTGCCTGCCTTGGTTGATTGGTGAGCGCTGCGCAGTCTCCCGTGGGCGTGTGGTGTTTGCTTGATCCCTCCCTCTCTCCCTCCCACTCCTTGCGTCGTCCCATCCTTCCTCCATCTCTCTCTCTCTCTCTCGCGTGCTGTGTTGTGTATGTGGTGCGGTGTGCATAAGAGTGACGTGCGTGCATTCATGTGTGTGGCTGCGTGAGGGGGTGCTGTCTTGTTTTGTGACGCGGTGTCGTGTGTTTTCCCGCCTTGAATGTGTGAATGTGTGGACATTGACCATCCCCTCTGATGTATCCATGCGAGTGTCTGTATGCATTCTATGTATGTGTGTATCGATGTGTGTGTGCACATGGGGCTGTCTGTATGTCTGCCACGCAACGCCAGGCCGGTCGCTCCAGAGCCAGCGACGGATGGCACCGCACAAAACACAGACTGCCTGACCCGCCGACTGTCTTGCTTTATCCGCCGACCGGCTGTGTGTGTACGGTGTATTCATTATCTGGCGGGGAGGGAGGGAGGGAGCAAGGCGTGGCAATTGGCACACCAACGCACAGACAAGAGGGGGGGG